TCTGTTAACCGGAATGTTGGGGCATTAAAGAGGTGTTCAAGTGCAATGATCGGTTTGATTCAGTGATTTATTGAACTCGCAGATTCTTTTTGCGCACAAAATTTACTTAATCGTGATCAAGCTAGTTTCTGATGCCTCAGCCTAATGCTGAACTTTTGCCAAATCCTACTCTGAATGTTCAATACATACAACTACCTGTATGTGGAGGCAAAACAAGACGAAGGCTTTGAATTGGATAGTAGCCTTCTGCTGACTCTGCTGCCGTAGGTAGAAAACCTCTGATTGGTAATGTTCTGTAATACAAGACAATGTGGCTTGTGTCATGTAATGAGCTAGTTTGCTATTCCAACAGAGCATGCCCAGTCTGATGCTATTTGGGACCAACTACGCATGCACGCAATAGTCTGTCCTATCAGCGCAGCTATGCACTGATTCACGCACACGCTTTGTTCCTGGAAGACCTTAGCTTTTTGAAATACCAAACTGGGTTATTAAATTAATGATGAACTCTGCTAGTTCAACAGCTGATTAACAGTGAACATAGGCACCTACACTGCAAAGCTGTCGATACTTTCCCTTATTTTTTTCCAATTGTGTTTTCTGTCTGGTTACAAGGGCTGTTGTAGCTGAAAAGAATTCCATCAGTGTTCTGAAAAGGTCATAGTGTGAGAGTATTTCCTTGAAGTTTGTTTCTGTGTTCAATGGATGATTGTGACAGAATGTTTCAATTAGAGTTCCAGAAATTTAATCCAAATTCACCCAGGTGGCATACAACATAAAGTTCAATATCTGAAAGCGTATAAAAGTCAAGTCACATTTCTGTAAGGTGTGTACCTGATTTTCAAGGTGGAAGCAGTGTTTTCCTTCTTTCAACTCTACAGCAAATTGATTAACACCTGTGTGCCTACCTCATCATGTTGCTGGGGAGAGAGCCAAGTCAGCCACTGGCCCACACCATGCCCTAGGGTTGTAACTAGCATGACATAGTCCAAGCACAAGGTAGAATCTCCTTCCCCAAGCACTCTATGCCCCAAACCAGGTGTCCTTTTACCGAATGATAGATACCTGTTGTCCCGCCCCTTGTGTGGGTTGCACTGGCTCATCCTGATTGGGTGGCATGAAGGAGACTCTTCCAGCTGGCCCCAAGGCTAGTCCATTAAGGAGTAATTGGGGGGGGACTGAGGCTTGGAAATATTCTGGCATGATGGCAAAAAGTTCAATTTTCAACCTGTCAGGAGCAGATTTTTCAAATTCCTCCACACTGTTTGTTGCTTGTTCTGAGGATAATGGAGCCACTGTTCTTGGGTTGATGTACAGTATTGTAAGACTTTCCAGAGAGTTACAGGTAATTGGATAAATTGATAGTGGTAGATGAACCCTAACCACCTCATCATTTCCTTGTACTGGTCCAGGCGAACCAGGGAACTACAAGCATTCAGTTGAATACCTTGGATGCACTTCAAATATAGCGTGTATAACTTTGTAAGATATGCTTATTTTGTAACTGAAATTTACTAAATATACTCGTAGGGTCCTTTCTATATGTTGGGCCAAAGTTATGCGTGTTGCAATTTAGTATTATCCAAGAATTTCAACAGCATTGTCCTTTTTAAAACCATTTCTCGAGAAAATCTCAAGACATATTAACCCCCCCCATTTTTAAAAAGTCCTATGTGCTTGATAGATATCATTCCCATTTAGCCTCAGAGCCGAAGAAAAGTTTGTTTGTTATACCAGACTTGTGAGCCTTGACAACCAAGTTGTGTATGAAGGTGACGGTATTGAGCCTCAGGTTGTTGCCATTAGCCAGGTGAGGGACAGAGACAGAGAGACAACCAAGGGGAGGGATTGCTGCTACCCTGGCTAGGGTCTCTCTCTCTCTCTCTCTATCTCTCTGCCAGCCAAGCGAGCAGTCAGTGGCTGGGAGTGTCAGTTCAAGATCCCCTCCTTGGCCCGGGAGAGGGTGCTGAGAGACTTATGAAGATGTTTGTTACTGAAATCATGACTGTTGCTCCCCAAGACAGCATGTTTGCTGCAACATGGTCCTCCACCCAGGAAACCTGTACTGTGACTCTCCCCCCTCTCTCCACTGCCTGGCCTTGCTCAATCCAAGCCTGACCCTGACTGAATTTATGGACTTGTGAAAAATTTGTTACTGATGCAAGCTAGGACTGCATGTCTGAAGTCTTTGCTGAGGCCATCAGAAATGCCCCTACAGTACAGGGTGCCTCTGAACAGTAGCTTCCTAGCAGCATGCATGTACATTTGTTATTGTCAAGTGTTACACGACAGCTTTAGACTTCTTCAATTTGGGCACAGCCTGTATATGGTAGTCAGAACCAAGGAGCAGAAGCCTAATTACACTTCGACGTTTTTTGTACCAGATGTTACTGACTAATCAGTCTTCAGGTTCGACATTTCACCGGGTCAATGAATAGTTGCCTTATATTAAAAAATAAAAAGTTAAAAGAGTACCAAGGATCTGGGAAGGCCACCCAAATATAATAAAGAAATATGATATGGAAAAAGAGGAAACAATGCCTGTTAACCTCCCTCCCCTAAACCCAGATGTGCCCCTGAAGAACCTTGGATTTGTACATTAATTAATCATGCCACAGACTAAACTACACTATTAATGGTTAAATCGCACGGGTTTGAATCAGGTCAACTTCTGATATCTGTCTGTTTCATGGGATGGATTGTTGTTATTAAGTGTGTTGGTGTGTTTGGCCATGCCAGTGACCCTGCCTGATTATTGATAGCTGCTGTCCCTTCCCCTTGTATTTAGGTCTTTCTCCCATCCTGTTCCTGTTCCCCATTGGTCAAATCTCTTTCAATCAATCACTATCCAGCAGCACTCACCAACAGGTGGCCAGGTTTAAAGGAGAGGGAGTGATACATGCGTGTAGGCAGTCTGTCTATGTAAACCGTGAAATAGTTCCAAGTTAATGTTTGGATCTTTGTTTAGCTTGAGGTTGCCAGTCTGTCCATTAGCAACATTGGGCACACACCTGGTCCAAGGGTTTGACAAGATATCTGCCCATTGCAACTTGGGATATTTCTACCTGTAAAGACTGCAAGGAGCTGAGCCAGGTGTAAGCATCCTCTGTGGTGCAGGTGTTCCTTGCTCTGTGGTTATATACTTTACCAGTGGGTTCCTTGCCTTGGTTGCTTGTCTGCTGCATTGCCGCAAAGTTGAATCCTTTTTTTTTTCAAGGTTAAAATGGTGGACGTGTGTTACTCGTGCCAGTATTTTATGACATTTTGTTGATGTCATGTTGTGATACACACCCTCTTGGTCAATGTCACAATGCCCGATGTCACAGTGGCTAAACATCAGCTATTGTGTGAACACTTCCTGTGTTTTGCGGTTGTTCTGGTAAACAAAATCAACAGTACGTTGCGAGAAATAACAGTATCAGAGGTCAGTTGGGTTTTAATTGTTATTGCCTATTGCCAATAATGATGAAATCCTATTTGTTTCTAAAATCATAAAATCATTGAAAACTTTATATGACTTTTATTTCATGCTTGGAATTTCATGTTAAGCCCTCTGATCTGAAGAGAGATTGCAGTGCTCATGCTGTGGTCAGATCAACCTTTCTTTGGTATTGGTGACCACACTAATTAAAAAACATTTGAAAAGTAAAAGAATTTGAAATAGATCGCTGAGCAAAAACCATACATTGTGACCACAGAGTCAGGTTACAATTCTTTCCCCTCAGGGTGTACAGTGGTTGTCACTGGTATGTGATTCCTTGCATTTGTAATAAATAAAATGATAGCAGATTTAAAAATATAATTGCAATGAGAATATAGCATAGTTAGTCTCAGGGGAATGTTGAAGGTAAATACCGCCCTCTTTTGGCAACATTTAAACATTACCTGGTCGTATTCCATCCCTATAACACACATGCTCTGTTGAGGTGTACCACACTTCCACACGCACTGCTTGTTTGTTGTCACCGAACACAAATTTGTTGATGACTTCACCCTCATTCAAATGGTTGAAAGTTCAAAGATTCTGATTCAAAGTGATAATGACAATTACAACCAAGTTTCTTGGCACAGCGTGTCTACTACTGTACAGTGCTGAAAAACTACAGCGTTTCCCAAATGTCTTGGAGTTTTAGTGTGCAGTACCAAACTTTCCCACCAATTAATAGACATCAAGTGGTATTGTGATCAGACATGATTTTACAAACCACCTGTTGCTCATATGTCGCCCAGAAAGAGATAATTGAATGTTTGGTGTTGGTGGGCATTCCAGTTTTAGCTTGTAGCTCCATTTTCCCCCTCTGATCGGTGGAGAATTAAGGGCTTAGTGGTGTGCCTTTTCTCCCACTTATTTTTGGACTCGAATGAGTCAGCTCTCTATCCATTTCAAACATTTTTTTTTCCGTGCCGGCATCCAGACTAACCTCAGCTCTGTCTGCAGAATTACCCCAGATCTTCAACACAGTTACCGGACGATGCATTTCCAACTTGGCTTTCATGTGATACATTCTGATTTCTAGGTTGGAAGTAACCAACCACTGTTTTGAACTTGCTATGGTTTATTTCCATTAATTAATGCGGAGCACCAGGGCAGAATCATGGTTAAAAATGATAAGCTTGCCAGGGAATACATTTCAAGTAGGATCAATGTGGGCATTTGAGGAATGTGAAAAAGAAAAAGGAAGTGACATTTACCACTATGTTGCCGGGATATTACCGTGCTATTTTGGGAGTCGGCTTTTTCTGTATCATTTGTCACAAAAACGACTGTGATCATGTGTTGAAGACTGAAATTCCCCCTCAAGAAACAAAAACTATTTCTCTTTTTTTTTTCTTTTTTTCTTTTTTCTTTTTTTCCATTTCAAGTTAGACCACATGTGTAATCAGATAAGCATGCCACTTGGGATTTCTCGTTATTACAATTCGCGTATTTGGGGTGTTTTTAATCTTACTACAACTGGAAAGTTTGACCGTGATCATGGCCAAAAGGGTTCCTTACTCACTGTCAAAGAAGTACTGGTAGAGATCGTTCACAATCAACTTGTAAGCCTCCGACTGCCATGTATGCTCATTCTGACTGGCTGTGAGTAATCACCACCATAACAACTTTTCCCAATGTGCCCAGTGACCATACCAATTTTTTTTATCCTGTTGACACACAAAAATATAATTTTTAAAAGATTTTTTCATCTCGCCTCAGCGAATTCCTACAGTTGGGCATCTACTGTCCTGGTACAGGCATTGTCCTTTTCTCTTGGCAACCCCCCAAAATATTTTTCTTTTCTGGCTGATCTAGTTATTGCCAACTCCCCAGAACAAGAGTACAACAAAGTTGTGAAATATGCGGTATCCCACACAACAAAGGAGTGAGTTTGACAGTGACATTTTGCTGTCGAGATTAAAGTACCTGTACCAATGAACTCAACATTTGCTTTGTTTTCTTGGGGGGGGGTCATTTCTATGATGATTATGATTATTTTGTTGGTGCCAGAAAGGATTTTGGGTAGTTTTTCAGATGTTGAGGTGTCAGAGTGGAAAGGAAGGATTTGAAAAAAGTTCATTAAAATTGAGTGCATACAACACAATGTGCATTCATTCATGATGTTTGCTAGACTGTGTCATGCTATGCGCTACTTTTTTTTGCAAAGTCACTTATATCCATTAGTTTCTGTCAACTTTTTTCCCCTTGCTTTTTCTCCGCATGCATTTTGTTATAATTTCCAGCAAAACCAAGTGATGATTTAAAAGAAAGGACTCGCAAGGCCAAAAGCAACATCACCAGCATTTACCTTTATGTTGGTTTGATTTATTGCTTGGTCATCATCTCAATTTTGGAATTTAGCAGCACTCTTTGTTTTTTCAATTTGGGAAGAATTTTGTTCACGTTCAAGTTTTGAGTCCTCAATCTTTGTTTCATATTCATCTCTGTGTAGAAAAGCAACAAAGAAAGTTACTAAATAACCATGTTCAAGATAAATCTTGACAAGGGGTCTTGAGTTCCTCATCTCTTCTCTGTGAGTTGAAGTCTCACCGGTTAGCCGTTGAACTCACAGGCTAGGCTGAACATTATGGGAGTCAAGTCATCAACTATTTTGACATGCTACAATGAAGTTCATTTCTTAGAAACTAAGTTCGAATTTGGAGTCATTAGTTGTTCATTGGATGTATCTTGTTTGCAAAGATGTGTAGATTCCGCACTTGTGTTGAACGAGTCAGTGGGTCCCAGTAAGGTTTGATCTGCTGACAAAGCTCACCAGAACTCTCTACTGGTCATCTTCTCCAATGCTATCCATCTTGAAAATGTTACAAATTGACATGAAATGTCCAAGTGGCAGAACACACTCTTTCAGTATTGTCAGAGTGGTAGCTGAGAGGGAGACTTGACGGGGTCACCAGGGTCATTACAGTGCTACCTTGTCTCCCCCTTGATCTTAACTAGGGTCACATCTCTCAAGTGAATGAAAAGACTAAGACTGTAATTTTGCCTTTATAGGCATCATGCCATGCCTAAAATTGGAAATCTCTAACGCATCTTCCCCAGACAGGAACCTGAAAACACCCAGGCTGGTTAACAAAAAAAAAAAATGAACAGACCTATGTACAGACATCCTGAGAGAAACTTATTGCTTCCTGTGCTGTGTAGCCAGGGGATGCCTAATCACATAATTCTCCTCCCTCTCTGTCACCTTCCATGCCATTCTAGGACAGAAAAAAAAAAAGAAAGATTCAGACACCTGAAGGAGGTATCCCGCATGGGGCTCGGAGAGGTATTCCTTGGTCCGCTATCAGGGAGGAATTCCGGATCCAGTTAGGGATGCTGGCAGGGCCCTGTGGGCATCCTGCCTGCACTCCCTAGGCAGACTTCCAGTTTTCATCAAGGATTCATTTGAAGCAAATTGCTAAGCAGTGAAGGATTATACTCTGCCATACTGTGGGAACCAACACAGAGGAATCCCAGTATCACATCCCATGTATTCCTATTGTATGTCTAGCCACTCTCCGGTGTGCACCTGTGGATGGGCTGCACTCTTTCAGAGTCTGTGATTGTGCAGAACAAATTTCTTTAATGGTTTCTGTACAAACCAAAATCTATGAGCCCCTAGCTGGACCAGGAGAGGGCACAGTTTTCCTAGCAACTGAGGCTCCTTTGGTGGGAACTGCACTTCACTGGTCCACAAACAGCTATGAAATGCCTGCACTGCAGTCACGTTACAGCCAACCATATAAATACTCCCCTCCAGCATGGCACTTTTCAACCAATGAGGGGGTGCTTCTGCTCAAGGGGGATACGTAAAAACTAAAGGACGATAAAACTGCAAGCAAGCAGTTTTACCCATCATATTTGTTTAACAGTGGATGATTCCTCCATGTTGACAAGGTCCTAAGTTCAGATGTTTGGAAGTCTGCTTAAGAATATTGACTTACTGTCTTGGAATGCCATGCCCTTTTCTTACAACAAAAAGTAATAGGTTGGCAAGCTGGTTCTGTTGATAGGATGGCTTGCAATTCTGCAGAGCAAATAGAATGAACCAACGACAGCAGACTCCAGGAGAATTGTTGCAGAGAGAAGAATGTGCATGCTTGTGATGTTCCTTCCAAGGTACATCACAGAATCCTCACAGTGTATTGGGTGGTATAATTCCTGGATTGTTTTCAAAGTTACTTTGTTCCATTCAGGAAAATGAAGTGTGCACTTCACCTCTATAAAACATTTCCAAAAATTTGCTATAATAATCAATAGATTTGTTATAGCAACTAATAATTGGTCATTATGTCTAGAAAAAAATACCTGATTGGTGGGAAAAGTTTCCACCAGTTATTGAAACGTTAAACATGTCATTATTTTGAAATATGTTTTCATTTACTATTTCTCCAATTTGAATTGGTGATATAACTTATCTGCAGAGAATCCAATATTGTCACACATGACGATATTTACTTGCTAATATGCATCATGCCTATTTGATTGAAGTAGAGTCTCAAAATTTTTCTCTTGGAAAGTCGTTATAGTATACACCAGTGACTTTTATTCATCGATATCAGAACAGTGCTTAATTACTGCCCAATGGAACAAAATAAACTGCTTAACTAATCATTGGAGTTGTTTTATGAGTCACTTTATGCAATTGATCGAACTCTGAGGTAAGCCCTTTACTTTTTATAGCCTCGTACGTCATATGTGCAACTGAAAGTACAGTACTTGGCACAGGTGCTCACTGTTTTTAGTTCCTGTAGTTTTATGAAGCCAAGCTGAAAGTGAGATAGTTGTGTCCCTGTCATGAGTAAGCGGTACATAGTTTTTTGGAGACCTACGAGTGGCATGTTTTCCCAAATATTGCCACTGATGACATAACAGCAAACATGGAGACCAATTCATGAAACTACATGGAATTATTGACGCAGGATTCTGAAGAATCATGCCGTGTTTCGACAGTGTCTTCCCAGTTATCTCCAAAATCATTCAGCAATAAATACGATAGCCCTGCAGATGTTACTGCCACGTATTCGTGTATGTATTTTTCCTTGAATGAAGTGGATGAACAAATCTAAGTTGACACTGTGCAGGTCACGCATATACTCGAAGGAGAAAAATGTAATTTCAATTCATGGAATATCTTTATCTGCGTGATTCCTAAACTGGAAAGGTGAATAATGGAAGTGATGCTCCATCCATTCAAAAAGATTGAGGAAAACATCCAACTGGTGGTATTGTTTCCTCCATTCAAGATCATAATAACCATATGTTTACCCACAGCTGAATAATTTTCAGTTTCCTGTGTACATTTGTCATCATCGTTAGTAGTAACATTAGTAATGACATGCGCTGTTGACACTGTGATATAAGTCCCGATTCTGTTTAATCTTTGAAAACTTATGGAATACTGTAGTCCACACATTCCATTGGCTCAAGTCCAAATGATAGAGATGGATATGTGAAGTGTGATAGTTACTGACATCAACAACAAAAAACACGTTATTGTTCTATTTCATTGCTGGCTGATGTTACCCTCCTTCAGTGCTTGATAAATTCCTTTGAGATTGAAAGGGGGAGGACGCATGCTCACAATCTTACTCCTTTGCTTTTTTTTTTTAATTCAGCACAGTCTCGTTGTCCCAAATCAGGCATCAATCGTGCCAGAAAACTGAACCCTCCAAAAAAGAAAAGAAATATCTCTGTACCTTCTTCATGTTCAGTCCCACTCTCACAGATTTATTGTTGGTAACATAGCGACGTTTGAATTACAGTGGCAGGTTCATTATAGAATCTCCAGCCCACAATAGCCACTAGAATTCCCAGTCAGTGAGCATAACATGATCCGTTCCTGGCTCTCCATTAATGCTCAACTTAGTATTTGTAAACACACCTCCATTCTGGAAGTAAGAACTTTTTTCTTTCTCATTCTTTGAATTTGACCCATCAGTGTCAGATCCGCTGCACAATGGTTTGCTTTGTGATCGTTGGGAGCAGATTGAAAATGAACAGAGCCACCTGTAACCAAATCATGGGCTGAAGTATGTGTACCAAGTTGAATGTTAATTTCAAGAATACCATTAAGGCCTAGTCAGAGCCCTAGCTGCAGTCTCGAAGTACCCACTTGCTCCTGTTCAAATCTTTCCTACAGTTTAAGTTCCTCTAAATCTTTCTGATTTATTTTAATATTTATCAGGTCAAACTGATTTGGGATGAAAAGAATGCTGACTTTGGTATGTTTTCTGTAATGGCCCTCCTTTATCCCCTACGTAATACTTGACACAACCTTTTCTATGCATGCTGTAGACAGAAAAGCTCTTGCTGGGAGTGGAATTGTGACGTCACTTTTACTGGAATGGGTGCATGCGCTCACCAAGTGAGAAAAAGCAACTGAAACCTCCACTTGACAAGTACCACTCAGCGCGCATTGTGACTCAGACCTGCCACACCCCCACTACTTTCATGTTGAAAAATACCCATTGCTTGAGTCACATACACGGGCCACTTGGGGAGGGGGAGGTGACACTCCTCCCAGTTTTGGATGAGTGAGTGTGGGTCCCTCCACCGTTTTGTTACGCACACAGCTTGAGGCAGCCAGAATACTGAGTGGTTCAGTGCTGAAGCTTCAGTGAAGCCTGGGGGCAGAGTACAGCATTTTCTTTAACTTACATGTACTTAGGCTTGCTGCCATGCATCTCAAAGACTCTGTAAAGTACATGTTCCGGGGCACTTCAGCTTTCTATTTGCTTTTCTAATTGTTAGAGAAATTACATTTCCCAAGATTTTCTCTTCGTGGCTGGTCCCAGACATGAAGCTCATTGTCATTTTGTATTCGTACACGATGCATAAAAATGTTACCTTGAAAACAAAGTGAACCACAAAAAAATAAAAAACAGAAACAAAAAGACCTCTGCTCACATCCGAATGAAAACATGCTTTGTTTTCATAGCCCAATTCATCATTTAACATTTCCCTTTTGAAAAGGAATTTCCTAAGTGTATGAATGCATTTTGTGGCATGAGTAGCCAGCACATTATTTATCTTTCTTCTATGGCAGTGCCATGTGCAAACCACACTCCTTGTCAGGTTTTTAAACATTCAGTAAGCACCATTCAGAATGCTCCTCTGTTGTTTCTACCCACTTTTGTCATTGTTTTGATCTCCCTGGAGACAGTTCACATTACAATTTAAACATCCTCAGTTCTGGAAAGCCTTCATGCAGACATTTTTTTCAGTGTTTAGCAATAGCACGGCATCTAGTCGGGGCATTGTTCAGTTGCCTTTGAGTTATGTGAACTGGGTTCCAATCCCAGTCTGTCAGACACTCACATTTGAATTTCTCAAAATAGGAATATTTCCTCCTTGTCTTTTCCCCATTCTTTAGGCTTATGAGCTATGGTGCATGCCCTCTACTGGTGACTATCATAGAGCTTTCCAACTTTCTGTAACTGTCCATTTCTCCATTCTCACTGAAGACCAACTAAGTTTGATAAGAGAGAAAGAATTGATGAGGTGAGGTGAGTGATCAAGCTTAGTATCCCAAATCACATATAGTACGCTTCTCCCCTTCCAAAGTTACCATAACCAGCTTAGCCATAACCAGTCCACTGATGAAGTTTGCTTGGAAATCCCTGTCATGCCAAAACAGCAGAACAAATGGAAATGATTGGTGGTGCCCTGATGAATAACACACTGGTCTCTGGTTACAACCATTCTGGAATTCCCCAAATTGCCTAACAGTGGAAATTTTTGGAGAGAGAAGGGTTGGTAATACCAGCCCCACTCGATAACAAACCTTGGCTAACTGAAAAATCACCAGTCTCAGGAAGCTCCTCCCTCATTGAGTGTACAATTACATGGTCCGTACCTAACACAGGAAAACAACTTATACTTCCTTTTGTTTCAGAACACAGCTTCATTGTAGGATTCTTATCATACAAACAACGATTGGTCACATTGTTGGGTGGTATTTTGGCATTCATAGGTGATTTTTTTCCTTTACTTTACTGTGGTGGTATTCTTCTAGTGATATTTTTAGAAGATGACAGTTTTCAAAGAAATCTAGAGGACCTAGTCTAAGTTTGCAAAATTGGTCATGAATACTGTATTATTTTGTTGAATTTTTCTGTATGAAAAATTGAGTTCTATTCCTATCATTTCCTTCCTTCTCAAGCTTAAGAACTGATCACCTTTTGACAGAGTGCTTTACAGGCTCTGTCCTGAATTCTTCACTGAGATTAAAGGCAAAGTGATATTGTAATGGAATGTCTGATTTCTTTTTCATTTTTTGTTGGGGGAAGTTTACACCATACCCAAAAGCTTTCTTGTGGTGACAATAGACTAACAGAGCTTTGATTGATGTTCACACACCTCAGATTTTGACAACTAAAGTGCTTCTATGCATTTATCTTCCTAAAAAAATAACTTGCAAGCTGGGAACAAAGTCTCTTAATTACCTGTTAATTAACTTTTTAACTATTAACTACATATCTGGGCAATCCCTTCTGGACAACACCTGTGATTTTGCTTGCCTTCTAGAAAACACCTGCTCCATCAACAATGCAATGACGAAAGCTTCAACAATGTCCAAAAAATGAACCTGTTGTAAGATTTTTTTTTCCAGGTTTAGGGAACTTTTTCCAGCATTTACAATTACCCAGATTGTTGCTGTGATTCTGAGATTGTAGGGCCCCTCCCCCACAACAACTGTTACATGTCCCGTCATTGCTCAATTCAAGTGGGCATAAATTGTTCCCCAGTTGCTATATATAGCATACCAAGTAGTGGGCGTGTGATATATAACAAACAGCTAGACCTATTGTCATCCCTTGCAATCATATTTACAATTGAACCCAAGCCTGGAGTTTGAAACTGAGCCAGAAATGTACGTGCTTGCCTTACTTTCGTTTTGTGGAGTTGTTTTTACTATCCATGCTTTTTTTGTAAGTATTTACTCTAAGGAACCGTAAATCAACTGTATTATGTGATGTCGGGGTATAAGTCCAGGAACATGACTTGATTTTATTAGTTTGAAGCTCATATGGGTCCATCAAATATTCTAAAAACACCCCCTCCCATCTCTCTACGGTATGGTGTGTCCTAGCATGTGGTCTTTCAAAGGGAAAACAAACTGAAGTACTTCAAACTCCTCAACTTTGCCTTGAGTTCCTTTTGACAGGAAAAGTTTCCTTTGTGCACTCACTGGCTGGTGATACTAGCTCCCATTCTTTCCTGCCCCCAAGGAATATCCTACGATGGGGTGGTTTCTTGGTCCCTGTTGTCTGCCATCTGTGCCTACCATTTGGTCCAGTTTCCTCCTATCTTGTGTCTCTCCCTCCCCATGTCATTTGTAGCGACCAATTAGTACTTGTGCTGTAGTTAAGGAAACGACTTTGATGATTTTGAGTTTTGACTTGAATCAGTGTGCTTCCCCCAAACCATGCACGTCTGTGAATTGATACCCTCGCAAGAACACATGCTTCAACAGTAACAGTCAATATGAAAGAATTTTGGGAACCTTACTGCATATTATGTCACTTTATTGGTGGCACACTTAGGATTTGAATTGAAATTTTAATTTTTTTACAATGTGGGCATTGACTTTAGGATTTACAGGTACTTTTGTAAATCATCGAAGTTTTGCTTGAAAAGGTCATCTCCAGCAATCCCTTGAGCCTGTTTGACCCAACATTGGACATTAAATGCCTGAAAAGTTAATTCAGCCATAAGTGTTTGCATTTCAATCTATCTATCTATTCCTCCATTCCGAGGTAGGTGGCAATCAGGTTCACTGAGTCGAGTTTCCACGAGTAAGAATTTGGGCCCATTTGCTTCACAAGGATCCTAATCTGAATCAGTGGTCCCAAAGCTGGTTCTCGCCAGCTGTTAGGAAGGTTCTTGTGTCAGTGAATCAATGTGGGATCATTGATCGACAAATAAGCAATATGGTTTTATGTTCAGATAGCTTTGTCAATCGGCTTCCAGTATCAGAAAAGTTTGACTGACCTAATCATCCAGTAAATTTTTACTGAACCTTCATCTGTAAATACTCCGTCTCACTGAGAGTTCATTTATCGGTTGGGTTGTTATGATGTACCTGCCTTGTCATGGTCTTCTCCCTATTAAATAACTTTACCTCACTGTGGTCTTTCCTTTCCTCTAATCAGGTTGCTGTGTATTTACTTCTGGCTGTGTGATCCTCCCGATAAACACCAGCGCTAATCTGATAAATGATTCATTGAAGGCAAATCATAACCAGGTTATTATGGAGGAATTTGTTTTCCCAGCAGGGGGTGCGATCTCATCAGCATATAGCCATCCCTTGGATCAACACTGAGGTTGGTTGGAAGCAAGTCAACATCAGTGGAGTGGACTGGTCAAATATGTCCATGGATTTTGTTTCTACAGACTCCTTGGTGTTACTAGTGATATCTGGGCCAATTTGCAAATCTCTTCTTCCCCTGGCATTGGCTAATCTCTGACTCGAGAATTAGAACAATTTTATGGACAGAAAGATATTGGCTTCAGATTAATGGATGCAATATTTCTGAAGCAGGAATGCCCATATTGAGGTATAGTCAGTGGCCTTATCTAAAGCTCGAGCTGAAGTGAAGGTTGGAAGACTGTAAAAGCATAGTAAAAACACTGGCTACCTTAATCGGAATAGCTCCCTGACTTTTCTCTTTGGGATTTATGGCAAAGACAATCCTGTCATAAGAGTTGAGAATCCCAACCTAATTTATTCTTAACAAAATACACTTTTGCCACATGTGGTATCTCTCAACCAAACCCAACTTATTGGGGTTCAGAGACATGGGTTAAACTCAACTGAGCTGCGGGTGTGGACCATGAAAGTTTGGTCTCACTCCGTTGGAGCTACGTGCCCAATTCATCCTTAACTAACGGACATTAAGGCCGGTTAATACTTCATGTCAAATTGAAAACGAGTGGGAATTTGTGACATCAGATCGGATATTCGCCTTGCAAATTCCTAAAAGTTGAACACATTTCACTTTGAGTGAAATTTCGCTGGAAATTTATCGCATTTGCATGAGGTTTGAACTGGCCTTTTATATTCAATGTCTTCTCAATGTTGAAACAAAGTGGACGGGAAAATTTCCCTAGGAAATTAGTGCTATAGAATTGTTTTTCCCAACACACCTTCTTAGCTTACAAATTGCTGTTGTCTTGAGATGGAAAACGAGTATTATCAGACCATGATC